TCACTGATTATAGTTGAAGGTATGTGGCGCTACTTCACTTATTTTGTAGAAACGGTACGAAAAGTCCAAATTGTGCGCAAAAATATTCCATTCATAAGAAATATAAAAAAAATTGATATATTTTATGTATGTTTGTTTTGTTATGAATCTTGGCCGTCTTTCAGTTAACTATTGTAGTTTCCTTTTATCGACATTCGAACATCTTCTATGAAGAGTGTGATATTTTTACGAACGAACAAAATCGATTAAAAGTATTTAAATTATCCGGTTGAGATGAAATTTAGTGAGAATACACAAACTAGAATCTAGAACATCATCCTGTCATATTTTAGTAAATACAAAATTAATATCATAAAGAGGTACATAAGTGAAGTAGCGCGTGTGCCGAAAGTGTCGTTTCTTACTGTCTTGTACTTCAAATATTTGTGTCCAAATGACTGCTTACCATATTAACAATTATGGCGGTTGCTAGAAGTAAAAAATGCAGATCATTTTTTCTGCCACTTCAAGACTATTTTGAATAAACTGATAAATCCAACTTAAATAAAGCATGATAGCTGTAAGTGACTAGAATATAACTCGTTTGCTCGTCATATAAATAAATAACTTTGTGTTAAATCAAAGTCTAAATGTTTCAGGTTAAGATGATGTTTGTGTCGACTCCTATAGCAATATATGTGAATGCTTCAGTCCTTCAGAAACAACTCATTCGATAGAATGCTGCGGAGACAATATTATACGATTGGAATGGACTGGTGCGACAATACTCTACGAGCAAATTAATGACACATCATGTACTCCATCACAGGGAAATTCATCTTGTTTAGTCAAAGGGGAAAATAATTTTAAAGTAAATTATGAAGATAAATTAAACATCTATAACAGTTGTAGTGGAAAGAAACGATGTAATGTAACTGTAAATCCATCAAGAAATATAAAGATACAGATTCCGGTGGCTTGTGAACCAGGTAGGCTGAACCTCTCACACGAACGTTTATAAGTTCAAGCTAATATGATTCTCAATGGTCAAAAACATTTTTCCAATTAATCATCCAAATAAGGTCTACAGGAGGTCAAGATACAATGATAATCAAATAATTATATCAGTAAGACCTTTCTGATAAACCACTGATTAGTTTGACTGACCAATGATGGTGGAAATGTTTGAGTCGGGGATATGAGCACCCTTTCGACACACATAATACTACTTTGCGACAAGGTCTGTAATTTTATTCATAACAAAATGTTTGTTTGTATTTTTATTTTAGCAACCAGAATCTACAATTTCATAGAGAATTCTCCTACAAATTTTACAAATAGATATCCAATATTTTACATCGCTGGTAATGATTACATTGGGAAAGAGATTACCTACTATTGCACTGCCCGAGCTAAAGCCTTGTACCCAGAGGTGTTATACATATACATAGGTCCTAGATCCTGTAAAAAAGTAAAGATGTATTCGAAAAAATTCTCAAATTTTGAATTGGTCTGTACGGACTCCGGAATGACAATGTTTTATAAAGATATTGGAAGTATCGGTACACAGTTTAGTTTAGAAATAAAGGATCTGAAATTGTAAAAGAATGAAGTTATATATCTAAAACTTGATGGTAAGATCTGCATTTATATATTACCAGAGAGATCTGAGACAGAAAGATCATTCTCAATCTCACCTACAGAATCTGGTCTTCACAATATTTTTCGGAAAAGTCGCCTATTATTTTGAAAGCTGTAAAACATAGAAACATTCCAACCTATACAAGTTTCTATACAATTTATTTTTGGAATGAGATGTACAATTTTTTAAATTCACGATTTTTTTTAATGTTGTATCAAAATCATTTATTTGAAAACCATTTGAAATTCAATGTGAAGGTTGTTTTCCAAAATGGAAGAAAATACGAACAATGACTAGTGAAAAACAAAATGTTTTGTTGAGAATCACTTACTCGAAATATCGATCTATTTGTTTTTCAGCCAAAGGGTCTAACATAAATGTACGTTGTCATGGTTACCAAAAAGATATAACAGGTAAATTATTCACTTTTATATTTTGAACCAAATGAAGTTTTTTTTCATAAATTTTACTCTAAACATAATATAAAGCTGGCTTGTAAGTGGTAAATCTCAGTTTAAAAGAAATAGATAAAAGTAAAATGATGTAAAGTACGAAGCAAATTTCGGCTAATCTGAGCTTCTTAGAGGGTTCTTTCCAGAAAAGTTTAGAAAAAATGAATTGATTTTGTGCATTCTGAGACATATTTTGGAGAAAAAACGTACACATTTAGATTTGTTGAAAATAAAGTGGGGGTACAATTGGGGGTGCAAACAACTTTTCTAGGAGGGCAAATGTCCCCCCTGTACCCCCAATGGCGCCGTCACTGGTACCACGGAATGTTTTCTAAGAACTATACATAGTTTATGCATAGACTTGATACTAACTGGAACCGTAAAACTGAATCTGACTCGGTAATGAATAGTGAATTTCGTTGTGTCTTCTGGGGCGAGACTCTTTACTTCCGGTATTAACATGTATTTGTCAAGAGATAGTACTTTTTCTACCTGATTATAGTCTTTAGCTTTGTAACCATTGGGGGAAAATTCTGACGCAAAATTATACATTTGATATTTTATTATGATTCGGTTTACTAATAATACATTTTATTATCATTTTGGATCCATATCTTAGGAAGGTTTGTTCTTATTGTCTTTGTTTACAAATAATGTAGTCCTGAACGACCAGCCTCTGATATTCACATTACCATAATTACGTCATCACGTGAGAATATTGACATAGTTTCCGTACCGAAATGTCTGACATTAATTACCGTTATATGTTGCAGAGCGCTGGCGTAACTTTCACGGAGGCGGTTTGTATTAAGGATAGACTGGTTGGCTTGTTTAGTTTGTTATGCTTTTTGGAAGCTGTTAGAAAAATACTGTATGGATTAAGGCATTATAGTAGATAAACAGTTCTCATTCGTATTCTAAAGGTTTCAACTAAAAATATTGAGTCTTTATGAGGCCCAACAACAAAAGTAATTTAAACTGCTTACTTAACAATGAGTCCACTCGGTTATTTTGATTAACCCTTATCAACAAATTCAGTTTGATCAAATAGATGCATAGATATAAATAGTATGTATTAGAAATGTATATTATCAAAGAATTTTGCAAACTGCCCCTTTAAATAACTTTATAACTTACTTCTAAAATGGCATAATAAATTTGACATCAAAATTTAAAACAAAAACCGGAAGAAAAACGTACAAGTAAAATTTCGCGCGTGTGTGCCAAACATAAATCGTACATTGATGTTAGTTGTCGTTCCAGTAAGTATACAGTTCTATATTAAGTAAAATTTTACTTCACTCCCTCCGCCCACTTCTTAACCACGAAAATTGTATTTAATATGAATTAACTATAAAAATATTTTAATTTTAGAGACAGTGAACATGTTGAGTACAACAGAGAATTCCAAGATGGTTGATAAAGAAGGAGATGAAACCAATCCCTACACTTTATTTGGTGGAATTTTAGCTGCTCTGATTGTCACAAACACTGCTAGTATTGTAATTGGTCTCTACTGTTTCTCAGGTGGGCCAAAATTGTCGATGAGGACATAACAATTTCAGACATATCGTGCCAATTTACAGGTCTTTGTATTTAAGGCATGTAATCACACTCTCACACCTCACAAACACCAATCAAATCAAGGTGTGGGAGTGAGATCACACATCTCAAAGACTTGGCCTTGCTTCAACATTTGAGAATCTGCACGATATCTCGATTAGAGTATGTCCATCTTTACATCAAACATAGTGTCAGAAATAGTTATGTTCTTTTTCGCTATTTATATTAAAAAGACTGGTAAGGTAGCCTATTGTAAACAATCTCGCAGAAACATCGTTGAACTTTTTAATTTTTATATCTTCTGATTTTATAGCAGCGATAGAATCGTCAACATATTGCATCTTAAATGTCGATCTCCTTTTTTCACATTCACGAATGGTCAAATTCAAAATTGTTAAGACACTGATTGGCTGGTGATGAGGACCTAGATATTTGTAGCATTGAAATATAGAAAGACATTGGGTGTTAGGTGATTACTGACTGAGGGCTATACATATAGATTCAAAATATTTATTTGGCGATCGGAGACTACACATACAAAATACATAACATAAACATCAGCAGATAATGACTCAAGACTTTAGATTCGAACATTTAGTTTTCTACCAAATTACTTTCAAGGGCTTGTTAAAGTTTAATGTCATTTCAAATCTGTATTTTAGAAACCGAAAGTCGCTGAAAGAAACAACTACCAATGTGGCAATGTCAAATCGGGAAGAAAATAACGTTGATATAAGGGATTCTCACGTTACCTACTCAAACCACAACAATCAGGAGTTGGAAATTGAGGACCAAGAGTCAGCCAATGGTAAATCCTCCAGTTACGATCATATCGTTTAGAACAGGTTGCCCACAAGGGATGCAACTCCAGTTAACGGTGCTTACAATCATATCGAGATCAAAAGTTTAATGGGAGTTACCAATGACTCATGAGCACGTTGGGATAGATCGAAACATCTGCCTCTATTCCAACCTCTGATAGCTATTTCAAATGGGAACAGATTTTTTAAGCACAACTCAGCTAGGCACACTTCTTTTTGGCACAGGTCAAAGAGGCACAGCGTTATATAGGCACAAGATTTAGGCACACTAATATAATACAAGATCAGAAAATGGCGGACGCTAAACCGTCATCGTAAAGGTAATTTAATATTATGGTAGAAAAAACGCATTTTCGTAAGTGTGGAAAATCTCCATAAAACAAGACTCTACTGTTGAGCTGATAACTGTAAATATACCTATGCGAAGGTGGAAACGAGGCAGCTGTTTTGAACTGACATTGAGGTTTATATTTAGACCGCAATTGTATTAGACCAAAGGGGCATAAACCGCAAGCAACTAAATCGGGTGGCTCAAACCAAGAGATAATAAACTTTTGACCGATTGTCCAAGTTGAAATGTTCTTGTTTCCAAAGATGAGATTAGAATTATTCAAATGTGGAAAAGTAGGACGTAAAACTCCATTCATTTCATTTTAATCAACCAGATAACTTGGATACTAATGAGGTTTAGTAGACACTCAATGTTATTGTTATTATTTGCTTTATAAGTTAAGTTTTATTTCTGTACGATTTTAAAATGTTTTTTTTTCCTTTAAAGTAAAAATTAATGTGTATAATGTGTATATGAAAAAAACAATTTTTTCCCATGCTAACCTATCTTTATGTTTTTGACATGCTAACCTATCTTTATGTTTTTGACATGCTAACCTATCTTTATGTCTTTGACATGCTAACCTATCTTTGTGTATTTGACATGCTAACTTATCTTTAAGTTTTTGACATGCTAACTTATCTTTAAGTTTTTCCCATGCTAACCTATCTTTACGTTTTTGACATGCTAACTTATCTTTAAGTTTTTGACATGCTAACTTATCTTTAAGTTTTTGACATGCTAACCTATCTTTATGTTTTTCCCATGCTAATCTATCTTTACGTTTTTGACATGCTAACCTATCTTTAAGTTTTTGACATGCTAACTTATCTTTATGTTTTTGACATGCTAATTTATCTTTATGTTTTTGACATGCTAACTTATCTTTATGTTTTTGACATGCTAACTTATCTTTATGTTTTTGACATGCTAACCTATCTTTATGTTTTTGACATGCTAACCTATCTTTATGTTTTTGACATGCTAACCTATCTGTATGTTTTTGACATGCTAACCTATCTTTATGTTTTTGACATGCTAACTTATCTTTATGTTTTTGACATGCTAACTTATCTTTATGTTTTTGACATGCTAACTTATCTTTATGTTTTTGACATGCTAACCTATCTTTATGTTTTTGACATGCTAACCTATCTTTATGTTTTTCCCATGCTAACCTATCTTTAAGTTTTTGACATGCTAACCTATCTTTATGTTTTTGACATGCTAACCTATCTTTATGTTTTTCCCATGCTAACTTATCTTTATGTTTTTGACATGTTTATTTATCTTTATGTTTTTGACATGCTAACCTATCTTTATGTTTTTCCCATGCTAACTTATCTTTAAGTTTTTAACATGCTAACTTATCTTTAAGTTTTTGTAATGCTACCTTATCTTTATGTTTCTGACATACTAACTTATCTTTATGTTTTTGACATGTTAACTTATCTTTATGTTTTTCCCATGCTAACTTATCTTTATGTTTTTGACATGCTAACTTATCTTTAAGTTTTTAACATGCTAACTTATCTTTAAGTTTTTGTAATGCTACCTTATCTTTATGTTTCTGACATACTAACTTATCTTTATGTTTTTGACATGTTAACTTATCTTTATGTTTTTGACTTGCTAACCTATCTTTATGTTTTTGACATGCTAACTTATCTTTATGTTTTTGACATGCTAACTTATCTTTATGTTTTTGACATGCTAACTTATCTTTATGTTTTTGACATGCTAACCTATCTTAATTTTTTTCCCATGCTAACCTATCTTACTGTTTTTCCCATGCTAACTTATCTTTATGTTTTTGACATGCTAACCTATCTTTATGTTTTGACATGCTAACCTATCTTTATGTTTTTGACATGCCAACTTATCTTTATGTTTTTGACATGCTAACCTATCTTTATGTTTTTGACATGCTAAGTTATCTTTATGTTTTTGACATGCTAACTTATCTTTATGTTTTTCCCATGCTAACCTATCTTTACGTTTTTGACATGCTAACCTATCTTTATGTTTTTGACATGCTAACTTATCTTGATGTTTTTGACATGCTAACCTATCTTAATGTTTTTCCCATGCTAACCTATCTTAATGTTTTTCCCATGCTGACTTATCTTTATGTTTTTGACATGCTAACTAATCTTTATGTTTTTGACATGCTAACTTATCTTTATGTTTTTGACATGCTAACTTATCTTTATGTTCCTGACATGCTAACCTATCTTTATGTTTTTGACATGCTAATCTATCTTTATGTTTTCGACATGCTAACTTATCTTTATGTTTTTGACATGCTAACCTATCTTTATGTT